TTAATCAGAACATTTAATCATTTCATATAATTGTGAAAGATGAGGCCCGAATGATTTTCTAGTTTTCCTAAAAAATGACACCATATTTTTTTTTTTTTGGTTTTTCGAGACAGGGTTTCTCTGTGGTTTTGGAGCCTGTCCTGGAACTAGCTCTTGTAGACCAGGCTGGTCTCGAACTCACAGAGATACGCCTGCGCCACCACTGCCCGGCTATGACACCATATTTTAATACCAATTTGTCTCCAATTTATATAACATCAAAACAATCAAATCCCTTATTTCAGTTTTTAATTTGTAAAGAGGTTAAAAATCATTGCCCATGAGAATAAAATATAAAAATAAGACTTCAACAGGGCCTGCTACCATAGGCCAGTGATCTTAGCTACTTGGGAGGCTCAGACAGGAAGAGCACAAATTCAAAGCCTGTCTGAACTAGAGTGAGTTGAAGGACAACAGAATACATTAGAAAAACCTTACTCAAAATTTTAAACAATAAAAAAATAAACCAAAAACCAAAAACCAACCCCCGTTCCCCCCCCCCCAAAACAGCAAAAAACAAACTAACAAAAACCAAACCATTTTTAAGAACTAAGGATGTATCTTCCGGTGGCAGAGTGCTTGCTGGACACGTCACACATGAGGCCTGAGACTAGAGACCCTGAATTCAACCCAGTAAATACACGTGTGAGCGCGCACACACATCTTAAAAATTCAACACAGATGAGAATGTCATGTAGCACTTTAAAAGACAAACATGTAGACTAATAATCCTGGAATTTTCTCTGTCCTGGGCTGAGACCTGGCCTGGAAATTAATTATACTTTAAGTCAAGGCACTATAATCAAAGCACTATACCTCTGAATTTCTTCCAGTGTATCAGAACAGAAAAACACACAGCCGCTGGAGCCAGGGGATATGAAAGAAGAACCAGGGCTGTTCTGTAGACAGTTTTCAACAGAGAGAGGAGGTTATTCTACGTGTTTCCTAAGACACAGTCCCAGGAAAGCTCTTTGCCAACTGAGCTACATCCTAGCCTGCATTCTAGATTTCCTAAACACACCATCCCTTACCTGCCTTGCTGATGTAGGCTGTCCTTCTGTATATGTATTGCTTTTATTGGTTTCTGAATAAAGCTGTTCTGGTCAAAGGCTTAGCAGAGTAAAGTCAGACGGGAACTCCAGAGATAGAGAGTAGGTGGAGTCAGGGAGATGCTATGCAGCTGCTAAAAGAACCTTACCAGTAGGCCACAGGCACATGGTGATACACAGATTGATTAAAACACAAGAGTTAGCCAGGAATATGCTCGACCAAACAGTGTTGAAATTAATAAAGTTTTTGTGTGATTATTCGGGTCCGAGTGGCCAGGAAACTAAAGGCAGTCTCCGCCCACACCTTGCTCACGTGCTGGTCCTGCACAGTATCAGCAGGCCAGAAAGCAATTCCTCTAATGTTCTCTGTCCCTTGGGGATGCTCGCACAGTGGACGTCACAGAGGAGAGACCCTACAAGATCCTTTCGAAGCCGGTAATAGGCTACAAACAAACAAAGCAAACAGAGAGTGCGAGAAGGCTCGGCAGATAAAGGTGCCTGCTGCCAATCCTCAGCATCTGAGCTCAGTCCCCACCTTCCAGATGGTGGAAAAAGAAACCCAGCTCCTGAAAGTCATCCTCTGATCTTTCCTAAAGGCGCTACGGTATACTAATACAACAAATGAAGAGATCAATGTAACTTTAAAACTTTCAAAGAGGCAAAATCTAAAAATTGCTATAGTAAACTTTTTCATTCTATAACAAATCCAACCTGACAATTACTTATGCATTGCCATCCAAGGGAAACTAATAGGGACAACAAGCTTCACTGGCTAAGTTGCTGTACATGTTTTGGATAGCAAATACTTTTGCTATATTGGTAGACAGAAAATGCAGTGTGCCTGTAATATGTAATACACACACACACACACACACACACACACACAGAGAACCTAGCTTCCCAAATACAAGTTTAAAGAAATATACTTTTACTCATTTACTTACATGGACACAGACATGTAAGAACCAGGCGAAAGCACTTGTCACATTACATAATTATTTATGATTAAGTGTTCAAGGAATTTCTGAGGACAAACTACTGTGGAGTAGATTTGATCTCAGCCTCTATAGCTCACATGTAGACTAATAAACAATCCTGGAATTTTATGTCAAGTGAGCGGACGTGTAGCACACTGAGCTACATAAAAGAGGCTTAGACACTGGTTTTCAATTTCTTGGACCATGTAGCTCACGCAGAGAATGAGTGCATCCCTGGCCCTAGAGTCTGGGTGGCCTAATCTACAGCCAGACAGGGGTGGGGGAGCACTGTTCACAGTCCCCAAGTGCTGCGGGTGTTCCTAGAGACCACACTGGGAAGCAGGAGGTGGCAGTGACCTAGCCCAAGGGTTGAAAGTGACTCTCCGCAGGGCTGTAAAATGAGCTGTTAGTGTTAATTAAATAATTAGAAGAGTCTTTTGTTCTGCAGCCCATAGATTATACCACTTGATGTGACTTGTAACCAAACACAAGCCATTAGGCTTGATTGCTAGTTAACTTCAGTTTGGGGGCAAATATTAGGGGCCAGGGCTAGTGCCTGCGCTCCTGACAAAACACTCCTTACAACAATAACATAAGGTCTATGTAACCACTTCTTGCACTGAGCAACTAGAGTGAAGGGAGATAGTTTATAAGACAGCAGCCGCGGGTGCCAAAGTAACATCTCTTTCCATAAAAACATCCAGACCTTAACTCTAAAACTCTAAAACCTGTGATGACAGGTGTGCTCTCTTGGTAACCTTCACTGACCCTGGATTATGTACATTATTGTCAATGTCCCAGCGTAATCACAGGGTCCTCAAATGGGAGAGGAAGGGAGTCTAACCAGACTCCAGGTATAGGTGAAGGAACTGGAAGGTTTGTGTTGTCTTAGGCTATTTTTTTTATTCACTTGGCAGCAATAGAAACTATTATAAAGCACATGATGGCAGGTGCCCATAGTCCCAGCTACTTGGTTGGCTGAGGTGGGAAGATGACAGGAATCCAAGAGTTTCCATCCATTTGGTCAATAAAGCAAGACTCCGAATCCAAACAAAAAGAACAAAAGCCCTAAGCCTGCTATAAGCAGCAGCCTCATTACTGGAAAATAGTGAGACAGCATTTTAGGCATAGATTTCAGCCTGGAACCATGAACATAGATGGAGATTGTAATCCAGCTGCCAAAATAAATGCAGCAAAAAACAAAACAAACAAATAACAACAACAAAAACCCACCAGGAGATTCTCTCCTCCCACCCCTTTCCTTTTACAAACTAAGAAAGGAACCCAGAAGCAACACCACCACTGAGCCACAGCGATTAGAGATTTCAACAGCAGCAGTTTCCATAGGATTCACAGACAGTGTAGGCACTGGGTACAGTCGCAACACTTGGGAGACTGGGGCTGATGTACTTTAAGGCTAAGTATGTTATATAAAATAAACATTATCATCTTATAGCAAGTTCATAGAGCCAGAGGGATGGAATTACCTGTCCCAAGACAACAGGGTAGTCACAAAGTCACTTTGGATGCATCTTGCTTGTACTTATCAACGCCTGGGAACTAAAGTGGCTTAGCGTTGGCAGTCTCAAAGGCCTAAAGATCTTGTGTCCTTACAAGCTTGGACATGCAGTAGCTAAGCATGAAACAGACACCCAAAGATCCTTTACTCAGTAATTACATCAGCAGCTGGGGACAAAGAGCAAACCACCATCACAATGGGAAAGCCCCTCCCAGCCACCTAGAGGCCCTGGGTAGGCCCCCCAGTGCTCTTAAAATTGCACAGGATTTCAGCTTCACCTACAGTGGCCTCCCTCTCTTTACAACCTGTTCCAGGACCTCAAATCCCTGGCTCATCCCGGTATTCCCAACCCTAAAATCCGTTTGAGTTGGCTTCCATTTACAATAAAGTACGTGACAAAAATTTCAGCTTGTTTGGTGCATGAGGCAACTCTCTCTTAGCCTCCCCAGACTGTTAAGAGCAATGTTGTGAGCGTCCTCATTGACATTCTGAGGTCTGTGTGTCAGCTCTGGAGAAGGGGCTTTTAAAAGATGGCCCTGGGAGGGATTGAAGTCTCCTTAACAATTGTCGTTTTCCATATTCCCGGAGGCCAACCAGAGCTTTTCGGCGAGCGACCTTAGTGTTCAGTACCACCCTGTGAAGTAAGGCTTTCCCTTTTACTGACGAGAAAACAAGGTTAAATAGCTTGCTTAGGACTAGCTACCAACAAAAACAAATGGCACTCACTGCCTAAGGTTCTTTTTAAAGTCCTCCCTCAGACTGAAGGGTGGCACCGCATCCATGCACCAAAAATATCTGCTAAACAGTTTTAAATTTGGACCTCGACCAGAAGAAAAGCAGTAAGTCCTCGGGGCTGAGGCTCCCCCGCCACTGCCTTATCTGAGCAGCGCGGTGGGGTGGGGGTGGAGGGGCGTCCCCCGGGCAGGCGCCGAGGGAATGCCGAGCTCCTGAACCGTGCGTGGGAGCAAAGTAGAGGCTTTCGGGAACCGGCCTGCTTGTGTATCTTATTATAATGAAGAAGGCCGGCGGAGCTACAAGCCGGGGAGAGACGTCCCGAATTACTACAAGGAGAAAGGCCTCCCCAGAGAGAAGAAACAAGGACAGCTTACCGAACGCATGCGCTCCCGCTCCCGAAGTACCCCCACCTCTCACCCCAGGTCCTGCTACAGCCGACACTGCGCCCTTGCTTACCTGCCACCTCGCAGTTCGGTGGACCCTGCGCCCTTAGTGCTGGAGGTTTTTCTGCGTTGCAAGCACCTGGTCTGGTGCTCCGCCAGTCAGCTGAACAGCTACCGAGCTCTTCTGGCCACTCCCAAGAACTGATGGCCACACCCCCAGCCGCAATTCAGTCTTTGCCTCCTGTAGAGGGAGCTCGGCGGCTAACTAGTACTAGACCCTCAAAACCCAAACAACAGGAAAGACGTGCGCCTGTCTCCCTCTTGATTCCTTACCCCAAATTGCTTCTGATTTTCCCTATCTGAAAAAAGTCACTCCCCAAAATGTTTTTGTGGCCATGTTTGCTGGCGCCCAGAGCTCTCTCTTTGCCCGTCGTGGGTATTTTTAGCTACGGAGTGTTTTGTTTGGAATCAGAACAAAATTCTGTCGAGCATTTGAAACTTCTGTGGGCTGACCAGGGACCAGAACTACCGCTCAGACCTTCCCGAGTGCAGGTGTAATATGAAGTTGCCACTTACCAATTGGAAAGAGTCACATCCAGTAAAGAAGCAACAGGAACAATAACTGAAAAGAGTAAACAGTCCGAGAGGAATCCTCCTAGGGGAACAGGAGGTATTCGAGAATCGGTCTGGGAAGCTGTGGCCTCTCAGGCCTGCTTTGGAAAGGGAAGCATACATGAGCCAAAAATCCAAGTTAGGCCACGGGGGTGGGGGAATAAGGGATGGGAGAAAGGAAACAATGATCCAGTTAGAGAGGTTTTAGTTTTTTTTCTAAATTTATTTTATTTTATGTGCATTGGTGTTTTTGACATGGGTGTTGAGTTCCCTGGAACGGGTGTTACAGACAGTTGTGAGCTGCCGTGTGGGTGCTGGGAATTGAACCCAGGTCCTCCAGAAGAAAACCACTGCTTTTAACCACTGAGCCATCTCTCCAGCCCCTTAGTCTGTTTGTTTTAAAGCCTTTCAGTCCTCAGCAATAAGAAGTAAATTTTCATTTTTTTTTGTGGGTTTATTTCTTTGTCATTTTCTTCCTCCCCCCCCCCCCCCCAGTAATATCTATTCCTCCAAAACATGACCCATTCTCCCTGGCATGTGGTGGGTTCTCTCTGTATCTGCCATATCAGAAAGAGCAAAAAAGGCTGGGACTCCACTCTTCCCCTAGCCTATCAATTATAGAGACTGAGCTTCAATCCCTGCTATAGAGGAAGCACATGGACACCTATAGAGCAAAAAATAAATAAAAAATAAAAAAATTAAAAAAAAATAAAGGGGGAAGCACCAGATAGGACATCCCCCAAATACATATCAAAATCCTTCCTAAAGTAGGTCATCTTCCCAGGTCTGGGCCCTTCTCTACTCTGGAAACTAGTAAGGCTTATCGTAAACAAATCCTTCCATGGGAATGTTGCTGCAATCCTTCCCATTTAGGTGATCGTGAGCAACATCTATGCCCTTCCTGAAGTCTTAACAACAAAGCTAGGCAGTTTCCCCAGAGTCCACTCTGACCGACTGTGAGTTGATTCAGTTTCCTGCACAGCACAGGGCACACTGGAGAGTCAGACAAGGTGTCTTTCCTATCGGTGGGAAAACTGGCCCTTCATGTTACACTTTCCCTCAGATGCAGAGAGGGCCCCCTGCCCTAGTCTTCCCAAGCTTGAACGGTGTAGCCCCTCCTGAAGCCACATGCTGGTAGGGTGGCTTGCCTAACAGGTGAAATGGAGCAGCTGGGAGTGAATCCACAGATACTGAGCTCTTGCAGGGACAATCATAAAGCCTCTGGCACGCGCCCTTTATCATGATCCTTTGCCGAGTTCCAGGATCCGCAGGACCCAGATCCTGGTTTTCCTCTATGCACAGTGACTTTAGTCAGGACTGCTTTGATAGTGTGCCTACGTCCAAAGCTCTTTGTCTTGTATACATTGCCTATTATATCTCCTAAGATCTATTCTTTTAGAAGTCAACGTTTCTAAATTCTAAAATCCCAAGTATTTTGACACCAATTTCTTGACTTAATTTTTGAGATTCTTTTTCCTCACCTCCTAAGAATTTAGGGTTCTCCAGTGTGCGGGCTAATTTTATGTTAACTTGACACAGGCTAGAGTCATCCAAGGGGAGGGAACCCTAATTGAGAAAATGCCTCCGTAAGACTAGTCTGAAGGCAAGCCTGTAAAAATTTTCATAATTAGTGATTGGTGGGGGACAGCCCAGGTCATTTTGGGTGGGGTCATCCCTGGGTTAGTGGTCCTGGGTTCCGTAAGCAGGCTGAATAAGCCATGAGAAACAAGCAGGTACGCAGCATCCTCCAAGGCCTCAACATCAGCTCCTGAGTTCTTGTCCTGACTTCCTTCAATGATAATATCTGGGAGTGTAAGTCAGATAAACCATTTCCTACTAACTTGATTTATCACAGCAATTAGTATCGCTAAGACACAGGGTAGGCTGAGCTGTTGTCCCTGAAGACTAGTACCTCCACGCTATTTTATTACCACTTGAGAGTACCTGTTCACAAAAGACTGCCATTTGATTTTTTCATAAAGCCAGAAACATGGAAATCAACTTTTTTCTTCTACTCCTGTAGAACTTTAAGACAATTCTGAGGCCATTTCTGAGCCCTCTCAACCTTAGTGCCTTAGCGCCCCCCACCCCGTCCCTGGGAATCTAACAACTATACATGCATGGACTGAAATGTTGGGAACTTCCCACAGATGTCCATAGACATTTTTTTTATTATTTTGTTTATTTATTTATTTTGGTTTTTCGAGACAGGGTTTCTCTGTGGCTTTGGAGCCTGTCCTGGAACTAGCTCTGTAGACCAGGCTGGTCTCAAACTCACAGAGATCCACCTGCCTCTGCCTCCCGAGTGCTGGGATTAAAGGCGTGCGCCACCACCGCCCAGCGTCCATAGATATTTTGACTCTGTCCCTGGAAAGGAGTCAGAATGACCCCCAGATGTTCCCCCGTTACCTCATCTGATCTGGCAATCACTCTCCAGCTCTGGCTCAGGCCACTTGTTATTAGAAGCCCCCTGAATAAGCCAATCCTAATAATTGGAAAACAACCCCCGAGTTCCCTCCCCCCCTTGTTTCTATGGCTTTTTGCTTTATTAATGGCTTGTGACAGGCATTCAGGGTCCTTGGCATTGAATGCTGAGTGACCCTGCCATGGCAGAATTGAAATCCTCTTGCTTTTACAACAACTGCGGTGTGAGAGTGTATTCTTGGGGTGACTCCTCCTTGGTGGACCCTAGGGTCCAACACTCCCTCATATCTATTGACTAATCATACCTATTTACCATTTAGGTATTGCAATTTCACTCCCCAATTCATTCTGCTCCTATTGCTACTGCCCTAAATTATGGCCTCTAGCTTGCCTGGGTCACTGACTCCTCCATACCAGACCTCCATGTTAATTCCTGCATTCCAGATCCCTTCTCCACATTACTGTTAGAGACCCAGTTTGTCTACCTCTTTAACACCTTGCCTTGCCTTTAGTTTTTTTTTTTTGTTTGTTTGTTTTTTTGTTTTTGTTTTTCCAAATAGGGTTTCTCTGTAGCTTTGGAGCCTGTCCTGAAACTAGCTCTTGTAGATCAGGCTGGCCTCGAACTCACAAAGATCCTCCCGAGTGCTGAGATTAAAGGCATGCGTCACCACCTCCCAGCTTTGCCTTTAATTATTCTTCCTTGGCTGGTTGCTGTAATCTCAGCACATGTGAGAAAGAGGAAAGATCACAAGTTTAAGGCCATCCTGGGCTACATGAGACTCCCCCCCCCCCACCTTGTGCTAAGGATAGACAATCTAGAACACATCTGGGCCTGGAACATTGATGACAATGTGCCATGTCAGTCCTGAACTAGTTACCTCTGAGTTTTCTTTAAGAACCAAATAATTTTTGGGGGAGGGGAGGGGTTTGAGACAGTTTTTCTGTAGCTTTGGGGCCTATCCTGGAACTCACTCTACAGATCAGGCTGGTGTCGAACTCAGAGATCCGCCTGCCGCTGCCTCCTGAGTGCTGGGATTAAAGGGGTGCGCCACCATCGCCCAGTAAGAACCAAACTATTTAAGCTACTGGTCATTTAGGTATGCCTCATCCGGAGGGTCAGACAAGTATGTGAAGAAAATGTGTTCTCGAGAGGCCTGCAGGTGGACTTTGCTCCACTAGAGTCTGGTTAGGAGAACATTGATGTCAATAGTTAAATTTCTTTTGAGAGTCTAGAAGAATGGCTCAGCAGTAAAAAACACTGACTGCTTTTCTAGAGGACCCAGTTTCAATTCTCAGAACCCAAGGAACCCCAATGACCTCTTGTGGCCTCTACGGACAGCAGCCACACAGGTGGTACACAGATAAACACAAAAAACAAAACACCCATACACATTAAAATTTCTTCTAAGAATTTCAGCAATGTAGTTAACAGAGGCTTATCAACTAATCACACTTTAGTGTGACCTGGAGGGAGCAGGGCGGCTCATTGAAACACATGGCCTTCACTGAAGCAGATTGCTCCAACAGTTTGTCACAATCCTTCGAGTACAGCTATGGTGCAATGGCCGACTTAATAAGCAACAGCCATGAGTGACTTTTCTCCCACTTCATAGTCCTTGATCACCTTTAATTTCATTTCTGGGTCAGCCATTTGATGACAACTTACTATCAATATCTTGTTTCATAAGGAGGTACAAGACACTGAAATTTATGACTGAAGACCCCTTCCAGAGGTTATATAAGCCGTACACACTTACACGTAGCGATGCTTTCATGAGTCCTCACCCAGGCTGTTAAGCTGTTCTCAGTTGCAGCTGTCAATCATCTGTATTCCTGTTAGTAATCCTGAGAAATTTATGGGCCCATCAAGCTGGGCTTGGATGGAATCTTCTTTCGCTATTATTGTCCTCTCTCCAAGAAAAAAAACATGTAACAAAGTCTGTTGAATATTCCAAGGCAGCAAATTCTGAAGGCACAAAAGGATGGCAAGGGAGCACGGGACCAGCTTTGGTAACTTTGACATGGTTTTTAACTAGTGCTTTATTGGGAATGTCCTTTTTGAAGTTCATCATGTCTATCTCCCCTTCCTGTGCATTATGTTGAAACTAATCCTCAAAGCAGCTTTATGAAGATGGGGGATGGTGGGTTGATTCAGTTATAAAGACTGTTTTCATGAGTGAGACTCGTGCCCTTAAAAAGACTTAAAGACTTCTCAGCCTACGGAACTAGATTTTATTTTTAAAGTCAGTTTTACTCTGTAGCCCAGGCTGGTCTCAAACTCACTATGATCCTCCTGCTTCAGTCAGCCTTTCAAATTGGAAACTGTATGAGTCATCAGTGCCTAGCTACTTTTTTTAACTGTAAATCACAATCAAAGGTGTTTCAGGGGGCTGGAGAGATGGCTCAGTGGTTAAGGGCATTGCCTGCTCTTCCAAAGGTCCTGAGTTCAATTCCCAGCAACCACATGGTGGCTCACAACCATCTGTAATGAGGTCTGGTGCCCTCTTCTGGCCTGCAGACATACACACAGACAGAATATTGTATACATAATAAGTAAATAAATATTTTTTTTAAAAAAAAAAGGTGTTTCAGTGCTGGGGCTGTGGTGGTACATGCCTTCAATCTGAGCACTGAGGAGGCAGAGGCAGACAGATCTCTGTGAATTCAGGGCCAGCCTGGGCTACAGAGCAAGTTCCAAGATTGGTGTAGGAGGTCCTCTGTATTTGTGCTGCTTTCATTGTTATTAAAGAAACTGTCTTGGCCTTCTGATAGGGCAGAACTTAGATAGGTGGGGAAAAGAGAACTGAATGCTGGGAGAAAGAAGGCAGGCAGAGAGAGCCGCCTTGAAGTCACCAGGTCAGAGATGCTGAATCTTTCCTGGTAAGGCACGACCTCATGGTGACATACAGATTATTAGAAATGGGTTAAATCAAGATGTGAGAGTTAGCTAATAAGAAGCTAGAAGTAATGGGCCAAGCAGTAATTTAACTAATACAAGGTAACTTGACTTCAGAATTTGGGTCTAAGGATATGATGCTTTGAAAGAGGTTCTTTTGTTTTCACAAAAGATGAGACCCTGTGGATTGCTTCTATACCAATATGGTATGATAGACCACGCCCTCCTGAAAGGTTGTCGTGAACACCCTCAGAAAATTACTTCACCCAACTGGTAACTGAGATGAACCTAACACATAGAATACACCATGAAAGACTTGATTAACAGCACCCCCATACCACAGGAAGAAGTTTGGAGAGAAATAGCTTCATCCATATTTCCAAATATTGTTTATAAATGTTCTTTTACATTTAAAGGGGGGATATGATATAGATATGGATAATTTACATTGGTATAAATTTTGCTTTGTTGATATAAATTTAAGGTCAATTGTTATATGTATCTCTGATCTTGATTAAGGTATTGTGATTGTGTAGTTCACTTAAAACGTAATATATAATTAGGAAATATAGGTTGTTAATGAACAATCATCAATAATCGTCAAGTTTGTAGTCATGTTAGGTTTTCTATATAAATATATATATATGTATTTCAGTTAGATAGGTATTCTTCATTATCTTTCAAAGACTACAGAATATGGCATTTAAAATGTTTTAATAACTTAGGACTTTTTAGGACTTTTCATGACAATGAGACACGTCTGCTCCTGGCATCACCAGCTACTTCAAGAGGAACATGGGTATTGAAGAGGCTCCTTATGGAGTTTGCTAGCCACTTGCCTGGACTGTTGCATAAACTGGACAGGAAGAACCCGCAGAGAGGACTGCTGAACTTGCCTAAAGGTGAGATGGTTCTTCAGGGTTCCTAATTCATGAGTCTGTGAGACATTCTGCAGGACACAGAAAAGTGACTGAACTTTCTTTGAAATTTCCTGCTTCATGGAAAAGTCTGCTGGATACTATAGGCCTGTAGGTTGAAGATGGATTCCCCAATGATACAGAAGCACTTTGGGTGACTGTCCAGGCAAGGAGATGTCTCTTGTCATTTCTAGAGTTTTGGAAGTTGCTTACTTCTCGTTTACTTAGGTAATATTATATCCTTCTGGAGTCTTTGATGGAATTGAAGAATAGTTATAGTTTTCCTTTGTTGTGATAAAAGATAAAATAGATATAAATATTGTAACTGTAATTCTTGCTTGATAACTGTTTTTTTATATGTAATTTTACTAGGTTAAAGTAAAAGCCTTTCTTTTTTGTTTAAACAGCAAAAGAGGAAATGATGTAGGAGGTCCTTCTGTATTTGTGCTGCTTTCATTGTTATTAAAGAAACTGCCTTGGCCTTCTGATAGGGCAGAACTTAGATAGGTGGGGAAAAGAGAACTGAATGCTGGGAGAAAGAAGGCAGGCAGAGAGAGCTGCCATGAAGTCACCAGGTCAGAGATGCTGAATCTTTCCTGGTAAGGCACGACCTCGTGGTGACATACAGATTATTAGAAATGGGTTGAATCAAGATGTGAGAGTTAGCCAATAAGAGGCTAGAACTAATGGGCCAGGCAGTAATTTAATTAATACAAATTCTGTGTGGTTATTTCGGGGGTTAAGCTAGCCAGGCGGCGGGATGCAGCCCACACCTTCTACAACACAAGACAGCCAGGACTACACAGAGAAACCCTATCTTGAAAAAAAAAAAAAAAAGGCAAAACAAAAGGCATTGTGTTATCAAAGCCTAAATGAAACAACTGACCATTTTTCAAACAGGGTAGCCTGAACAGTATTTGGCAGCCTGATAATAGTTATGTATCACTTAACAATGGTGATATAGTCCAAGAAATGAGTCATCAGGTGGCTGTGTAGCCAGGGATTTCCTCACTGTGAAAACACCAGGGAATGTATTCTCTACAAACCTAGATAGAAGAAAGTTTTGCTCTGGCAGTTACTGCCCTCCACAGTCAGCTTTCCTAGCTTTTAAAACTTAGTCAGCTATTCAGATACCTTCACACTGAGTTTGCAGGTTCACCACTCACTTTTGCATTTTTATAACAATTACCGAATCATTTTAGATCACCCACAGCTCTCAGTAACTCCGATATCCTGGTCAGGCCCACTCTTCTCTTTCAACATTGCAGACAAAGCCTGCTTTGACTGTGGTCATCCTGGTGTCAAGAACACACTTGTGTCAAGTCAGGTCATTACAAGGCTCTCCAGACCTGATGCTGACCTTTCTTGAATTTTCTAATCCATTGCCTTCGATGAGGCACATGTTCCAACAACTTATGTCACGCACTTGTTCCTGTTCTGAGGGTATAGCTATGGTGAAGCTTAGTAAGGAACAGCCCTCAGCAAATTCCCTCCCCTTCATAGTCCTTGATCACTTTTCATTTCATTTCTGGGTCAGGCATTTGATGACAACTTACTGTCAACATCTTGTATGCTTTGGGGCCATAACAAATAGAACATGGGATTTAATCAAACACAAGAAAACATGACACATTCAACAGATGTGATGTACACCAGATGAGGTTACTGTTGGCTTCTGTTGTTGAAACATCAGGAGACTGTAGCGTTTTATGAAAAACAAGTAGGAAAATGACTCAAAATATTCTGACTTGTCGTCGTAAAGCAGCAAGTTTGCTCATTTCCCTTAGAGGGGGCACTTAGCCTTGATTATGGCGCTCTTTCCTAAATTGTCTTCATGAGAGAACTGGTTAAGAGGAAAATTGGTGGAGAACAAAGAGAGCATAATCAAAGCCAGTAGACAACTCAGAATGGACATACTGCACTCTGGCTGCAAGCCAACAAATACCATTACCATCTTCTGTCTTAATACTAAGTTTTTGGGAAATAGGCACTTACACAAAATCGTTTTAAAGTATGAGTTTTTGACACTTGAAGGATTTCATTCCAAACTCTCAATTATGTAATTACAAAAAACAATTTTCATGTTTCAGGAAAATATCCTTAACCCTAACATAAAATTCAGATCACAAAGTTAGACAAATGTATATAAAGAAACAAAACAGAAAGCGTATTTACAAATTTAGACTCTGTGAGACATTGTGAAGAATCTTTAGCAACATTCTGCATACTTTTACAAACAAACTACATTTAAAATGAAGAATCTGTAAATAGTGTGAGAAAGGTCATAGCGTGAGAATTTTAAAGTCCAAAGTTATGTTGAAGACATTAAATTAATGATGAAAATTTGCAACTCAAGGTTTGTGTGATAAAGACTAAATTCAAGGACAGACAGAGAGAGCAAACTATTCCCATTCAAGCTGTCAGTCAGTTCCCTGTGAGTATAAAATATTAACAACCATGAAGAGGAGGAAGCTAATTACAAATTTTGTTAGTTTCTAAACAACTAAAAAGGGATCTTTTCACAGTTAGTCGTACAGTTTCTTTCTGTGCTTGTCTGTGTATTTCTGCCACATGTCAAATCCTCATCCAAAACAATTTTTCCTTCACTTCTGTGTTTTTTTAAGTAGAAAATATTTTTAAACAAAGAAACATCTGTTCTTTAGTTATAGAACCACTCTTCCACTTCCTCCTGGAAGAGAAAACAAGATTTCCATTTCTTCCTCTACCTATAAAACAACCCAAAGCGATCCAACTCCTAATGCAGTGACGTGTACAACGTAGGTCTGGTACACAATTTCATGCTAGTTCTGCTATACGCTGAGCACAGTTATTTACATTATTGACAAATCTATTTAACAGAATAGTCATCCCAGCATTTCCTTCCACAGCAGCTAAAACAGACGCGAGCAGCGGCGTCTGCGGATGGGAACGTCAAAGACCCTCCTCCGTCTCTCCTCCCCTTGAACCTCATCTGACTCATTCTCATCCTCATCTGATTCATCTGATTCGTCCATCTCTGCTGAGTCATTTTCTTCCTCCTCCTCAGCTTCCTCTTCCATCTCTTCATACTCATCAGGACCCATTTCCTTAAAAAAGAAAAAAAATCTTTTGATGAGAAGAATATCTACCATTTCTTGTAATTCTATAGCCTAGAATACAGATAACTAGACATGCTGGGCACAAGTCTTTACAAACCTGAAATATACAATCTCATAATGCAAGATTCTAGACTGTATATTGTACCACATGTTAAATAATGCTCAATATGGTTTGAATGGTAAATACATTATTAAGATAGTACCTATTCTTTACATAGTAGCTGGTAATTCATACATGGAGGTAAGTATACTATTCCTAATAACCCACAATAAAGTTTTAAAGAACTCATAGTAATGTGTTTATTCTTTATAAATCTGTTAACAGAAAAAAAGATGTGACAATATTAATCAGATATGACCTCTACTGCTAATTTTTATGCGCTGTTCTTAAAATATTTTTATTAAGTTCCAAAGACACTCATCTTAAAGATCAGTAGCACTTTTTCAAAAGTTTAATTTTTCCTTTTTCAGTTGCTTATAACAGCAGCAGTCACTCATTATCTCCTAGTTCCTGTGGTTGGGTATCTGAGAAGCACTCAATGGAACACTTCTGGCTTCAAGGCTCTCATGATGCTACAGTTGAATGGTGACTAGAACCAAGCTTCACCTCAAGGACTTCTTCCCTCTTAAGTCTGGTACCTGGACTGGGATGATCCAAATAGCCGGAGCCTGAAGAGTGTGCACCTCCTTCCATCGTGGAGCTGGATCTCTACATGCCTTCTCCAGCATGGCGGCTTCATAGGAACTGGACTTCTCACACTAGGTCTCATGACACCAAAGGCACGTGCTCCGGGAGAAAGAACTAAGCTCAAGGCATTGCCCCTTTCTAACTCAGACTCAGCCAGTGTCACTGCTGACTCCCAAGACAAGCGCAGTCCTAGGATCAGTCAATGCTGCAGGAAAAGGGAGACTTGAGGCCCTCGGACAGATGCTGCGATGATAGACACGCAGTGTCAAACGTCCTTGGACTGTCATTCTAATCAATCCATGGCTTTAACTTGGCTTCTCTAATACACACCACAAGACTCAATTGTTGTTATACTGGCTAGAATTTGAACAGCCAGAGCTCAACTGATAATCTGAATACTGAGAAACTTAGCACATAATGTCAGTAAAAATCCTTCCACCATGACTTTTATGGCATTAATATCATTAGCACTGCTCTGGCCCCCATTTTTTTTCTTTTTTTTTTTTCTTTTTAAAGATAGGCTCTCATGTAGCCTAGACTGGCTACTCTGATCTTGTTTCTAACTGCTATCTTCCTTGTTCTCTGCACTCAAGCCTCCTTGTGTCAAACACACTAAGCCCACAGTTGCTTAAGAATCCTCACAGCCAGCACTTCTTTGGCTGAATAGCCAAATGGACTTGTTTTCTTCACTCCTTTTATATCTCTACTTACCTCTCACTAAGGCCTTTCCTGACACATCTTATACTAGTACTCTTTTTAGCCCCTCATTTTCTCCACCACACTTGTTACTTGACACAAGAGCACAGGTTAGCTTATTTCTTCCGTTTAGAATATAAAATCCAAGACAGGGGTTTTGGTTGTATTGAGTACTACAGTATTCAGACACATGAACAAACAAATGAAAAATTTAGGAGAAAGAACTGTGTCATTTAGTATTTATTATAACACAAAAGTAACAATCAGAAAATATACACAAAGAAATACGGCATTTCATTATTTTTTAAATCTACGGAATGACAATTTCAAAATTCTGTAGGAAATACAAAAGGAGGGATAGGGAAGGCTGTGGAAATTTTAAAACATGATCATCAGGTAGTATGATTATTAAATTAATGAAGAAAACAAGAACTGTTAAAGGAATCAAATGTGATTAGAGAGAAATACTCAGATGAAAGTGTACTATACAAACAGCACATAAGAGAGGAGCAGAGAAGAACGGACACAAGGAATACCCATAGTGCCCTCAAGCCCAATAAATACCCCATCCAGGGATGTCACTGAACTATGCAAAGAGTATTTACAGTGGCAAGTATAAAGGAAAAGAAATTATGAACCTAGTGACTAATCAGACTGGTAGAGGACAAAAAAAACAAAACACAATTCAACTTCCATATCAAGGAAGAAAACAGAAATAAGGTCAAAAAACACAACCCCACTATCTTTTTTAGTTTGAGTCACAATTCTCATTTCTATTGACTGTTCATCTTTGAGAAAAACATTTTCTGTGAAGCAGGGCATCTACATTTTCTTGTAGTTAAGCAGAAACTAAAACTCTAAATAAATACAATTGAGAGGGTTGAACATGTAAAGAGTTTATTTACTGTAATTTTAAAAGAAACTGATGCTATTATAAACGCTCTCTTCTAATTTCTAATATGGTAAATACTGACACAGCCATGTAAACAAGTTCTTAGGAGTCGTCAATGATGCCTATACATCTAAGGAGGTGATGAGACACAAAGGCTTGAGAACCCCTGTCCTTAAGTAAAACCCATACCTTTACATTCACTGAAATAATATTAAAAACAAGAAACAAAAGGATCAAGCTGACCCATTTTGACTGCCTGTCCAAACATTCCTCAATGCTCTTACTCTTAGGACAGTAATGTTATTATAAATGGTAACTGAAGAATTACTCCCATAAACAGACAACTATCCTAAGCACTGGCACACAATTCTGTAACTTCAAAATGCATGAGGCAATCTGACGAGAATGAAGCAAGAAATGGACAAAGCCATAACATTAACTGAGTATTTCAACAATAATCTCTTCAATAGCTGAA